GCGGGAAGCAGGGGAGGGGGCGGAGTTGGGGCGGGGACTTTGGGGAAGGGGCGGAGTTGGGGTGTGGGCGGGGCTGGGGCGGGGCCGGGGCCCCGTGGAGTGTCCTCCTTTTGGCGGCTCAAAATATGGTAACCCTAGCTCCAACAATTCACTCATTGGCCTTATAGCTCCTGGGAGGCAGGGCATTGCTAAGCAGCAGATGTTAGAGCAGCCCTTGGACTGTTCTAACTGTTGGCAGGGGCTAGGTCAGCCACTGGCCAGACCCAAGAACAGGGCAGGAAGAAAAGGACTCAAAGTCATCTCTTTGGTGGCTGCTAGTTCAGCTCAGGCCTGGCTGGGGCTTGAGCCCTATGTCTCCATGTTACAGGTCTGTGTGAGGACAGGGTTGTATAGCGGTAAGATCATATTGTTCAAGTCCATCTGAGAGGCAGAACGATCGTGTTGGCAGAGCGCTATTGCCAGCATCTAACTGTCATACAATAGCTGCTCCTCACTGCCCCAGCACCTGCCAGCAGAAAACACACACGAAAACCTCCCATCCGCATTTAGGTTCAACCTATTGGCAACCTCTGGTGGCCATAGTGCAAAACTGCAGGCAGGGGTTAGCTGAATCAAACAGCTTTTGAAATACGTTTATTACACTAGATTAACAAACATGAATCTGAATTTGTGTCGTAATCCTGTTGATGAGAGCCCAGAGACATTTACTCAGCAGAAACAATAAAGCCCCTCACTGAACTCAGTCAGCTCTTTTGATTCACAGCATAATGCTGCTTATCATCTCTTTGGGGGGTTTTCACTGTACATCAAGCCTTGAATACACAGTAGATATAGTTCGCTTTTTTCTCATGTTTAGCTTTGGGCTGCCAAAGTTTTATAGACATCACTTTCTTGAAATGAATGTACAAAGGTGGAATACACTTATTTTTCAACCAAAGACTGTCTCTTCACTTTCATCTTGGGGGGAGGGATAGCTCAGTGAGGGGGGAGGGATAGCTCAGTGATTTGAGCATTGGCCTGCTAAACCCAGGGTTGCAAGTTCAATCCTTGAGGGGGCCATTTAGGGAACTGGGGTAAAAAAATCTGTCTCGGGATTGGTCCTGCTTTGAGCAGGGGGTTGGACTAGATGATCTCCCGAGGTCCCTTCCAACCCTGATATTCTATGATTCTATGATCTTATGACTTTACCCTGATCAGCCC